CCTTATCAATAATCCACTATCCTTATCACAAATCCAGTTTCCTCATCACTAATTTATACCACAAATCCTTATCACTAGACCTTCATACCACCCATTAACCGTCCAGCTCGAGACTGGCGACTGGCGACTGGCGACGGCGGCTATATGATTTGCATGGACGTCCGAAATTTTTTAAATACTTTTCAAGTAATTTATTACTTTTTTTGCTTTTTCGGTAACAGTTATGAACGTCGTCCGCGATTCGACGCAGTCGGATTGCATACGTGATGACGTTCCCCAGCCGTCGAGTATTGTCGGATTGCCTTCCAGGGTGACTACGACCAAAGTCGAGGAAGGTGACTGACCCGCTAGACCCCAAATACTATTACTACGGCGAACGTCATTCGAGGTGACTGACCTGCTAGACACCCACAAAAATACAACGACGATTTATAATTTTTTTTCGGAATTTTGATTTTCCGGCGGCAGTAAAGAACGTTATCGTCGAACGTTGTTGCTTACCGGGGGGCTATCACGTCGAACCACGGTGGACCTAACCTTATCAGAGTTCCTTATCACACACCGACCAGCTCGAGACTGACGACCAGACCAACAGACCACTGCAGCTTCCGAAATCGAAAACACTCATGACCGACACCCGGGGGTCTGGGGGTATCCCCCAGCGACGCTCGGAGAGCTAGTCTTATACTATAAAGCGTGAATACGTGAGGCGCCGCCTATGCTTTAAATCCGAACCATCGTAAGAGAGAGCCAATGAGAAAATTCAATTACCCCGGAGGGCGGTCTCCCGGCGGCGGCGGAGCCGTCGCTGCGTAATCAGCCTTTCTTATCACTGTTTCGAGATTTTTTCGATTTTTTCGAAATTTTTCGAGTTTATCGAGTTTTACCCCCTCGGGGGGCCCGGGGTCTCCCCGCTGTGACCTTATTCGCGTTCCCCGCTAGATTTACAGGCCGCGCGCGGCCGTATTTTCTTCCCGGCGGGCCCGCGGCGGCCGATCTCGCGCGCGATACGAGCGCCGCCGTCGCGCGCGTTTTTCGCCGTATTTTTCTATATTACTGTATTTTTCTATTTTTTATGTACATCACGTAAGCCGGTGTGTACCTATTAATTCTAAAAATAACACGCGAGTCTCATACCTCACCGCTGATAACAATAACTGATACCTACAACAGACAACAGTCGTTGTATTCGATTGCAACGTTTTTTTTTTATGACGAGTTTTTCATATTTAGTATTCACTTTTTACTTATTATTACTATAACCTGTTCGTGATGCTTTTAGGCTATTCAAAATGGTCAAACGATATGTGCTATGCGGAATTGTGGAGAAAACATTATCGATGTTTCCGTACACAAGTAATTCACCCAACACGTACCAATACCTACTTATCAATATATTATAATAAATTATGTGTCGCCTTAGATTTCCAACTGCCGTATACCGTATACAGTGTTACTGTTGGCGTGACTTTTAACAAACGTTTACATAATACGGGAGACATTGGTTCTAACACCATGTTGGTGCGTGGAAACAAAACCACAACCAGCTGACCGAGTTCCGTTTCCATATCGTTGCGCCTTCGGCAATGCAACGCTGAAATTCTTGATGGAAATACAGTATGCTATTATTTCAGGACACCTTCATTTATTCGTAAGTGATTACGGGCCTTATCAGTAATTTTTGGGCACGGTAAAAATACTATTTTCATTTTCGACCCGGCTTCGGAGTGGTGGATCTTTTATCTGACGTTTAGTCGGATTGCTTACGCATTTAACGATGTTATCATCAATCAAGGTGGTGACTGACTTGCTAGCCTTCGCACATTGTCCGCTATCCGACGAAGTAGGATTGCCTACCAGGGTGACTACGACCTACGTAGAGGAAGGTGACTGACCTGCTAGACTTCAAAACATATTTTCACGTAAATTATACACCCAATCCTCGAACCGGCCGTCACACGTCGTCACGTTGTCTACCAGGTGACTACGTCTCACATCGATACGGATTGCCTACCAGGCTGACTACGACCTACGTAGAGGAAGGTGACTGACCTGCTAGACTCCAAAACATATTTTCACGTAAATTATACACCCAATCCTCGAACCGGCCGTCACACGTCGTCACGTTGTCTACCAGGTGACTACGTCTCACATCGATTCGGATTGCCTACCAGGGTGACTACGACCTACGTAGAGGAAGGTGACTGACCTGCTAGACCCCAAAACATATTTTCACGTGAATTATACACCCAATACAATCGAACCGGCCGTCACACGTCGTCACGTTGTCTACCGTGACTACGTCTCACATCGAGTCGGATTGCCTACCCGGATAACAACTTTTTTTCATGTAATTTATTCTTTAATTTTGCATTTTCGTTAACAGTAATGGACGCTGTGATACTTGATGACGTTCATCAGCAATCGCATATTTACCAAGGTGACTACGACCAACGTAGAGGAAGGTGACTGACCTGCTAGACCCCAAAACATGTTTTCACATAAATTATATAACCGATGCATCGAATCGGTTGTCACGTTGTCTACCCGGGTGACTACGTCCAACATCGAGGAAGGTGACTGACATGCTAGACCCCCAAGAAAAGACTTTGACAGGTATCCGGTTAACTAATCCACTATCCTTATCACGAATCCTCCATCCTTATCACACATCCACTTTTCTTATCACAAATCCAATATCCTTATCATAAATTGTTATCACAAATCCACCATGCTTATCACTTATCTACAATCTTTATCAATAATCCACTATCCTTATCACAAATCCAGTTTCCTCATCACTAATTTATACCACAAATCCTTATCACTAGACCTTCATACCACCCATTAACCGTCCAGCTCGAGACTGGCGACTGGCGACGGCGGCTATATGATTTGCATGGACGTCCGAAATTTTTTAAATACTTTTCAAGTAATTTATTACTTTTTTTGCTTTTTCGGTAACAGTAATGAACGTCGTCCGCGATTCGACGCAGTCGGATTGCATACGTGATGACGTTCCCCAGCCGTCGAGTATTGTCGGATTGCCTTCCAGGGTGACTACGACCAAAGTCGAGGAAGGTGACTGACCCGCTAGACCCCAAATACTATTACTACGGCGAACGTCATTCGAGGTGACTGACCTGCTAGACACCCACAAAAATACAACGACGATTTATAATTTTTTTACGGAATTTTGAATTTCCGGCGGCAGTAAAGAACGTTGTCGTCCAACGTTGTTGCTTACCGGGGGGCTACCACGTCGAACCACGGTGGACCTAACCTTATCATAGTTCCTTATCACACACCGACCAGTTCGAGACTGACGACCAGACCAACAGACCACTGCAGCATCCGAAATCGAAAACACTCATGACCGACACCCGGGGTCTGGGGGTATCCCCCAGCGACGCTCGGAGAGCTAGTCTTATACTATAAAGCGTGAACCCGAGGGCGCAGCTTGTGGAGTAAATCCGAACTGACTTAGGGAACCCTCCAATCGGAAAATTACATTTCTATCCGTGGGCGGTCTCCCGGAGCCGTCGCTGCGTTATCACTCCTCTTATCACTTTTTGCCGTTTTTTTTCAAAAATCAAAGAAATTTCGAAAAAAATCGAGTTTTACCGCCCCGGGGGGCCTCGGGCGGCCCCGTTCGGACCTTATTCGCGTTCCTCGGTAAATTTATAGTCGGCGAGCGGCCCTACTTTTTTCCCGGCGGGCCCGCGGCGGCGGATGCCGTCGCGCGCGTTTTTTGCATTTTTTTTCGAAAATTCGAGTTTTAGGCGTTTTGGGGCTTATCGACCTCCCCGTTTGGATCTTATTCGCGTTCCCCGCTAAATTTAACGTCGAAACGTGGCCCTACTTTTTCAAAAACGAGTGCCCCGGCGGACGTATCGATCGCCGAGGGCGCCGCGTCGTCGCCGTTTCGACGGTTTTCTCGACTTTTTCGACTAGAGTCGCGTGTAGCAACTCTACGAGACGTCCGACCTCCCCGCCGGCGACGTATTCGAGTTCCACGCTAAATTTATAGCCGGCGAGGGTACCTACTTTTTCAAAAACGAGTCCCGGGGAGGAGCGACGTCGCTTAAACGAGAGTAGTGTAGTAAACCGACGTTTTTACACAAAAACGGCGTTCCAAAGGTTAGGTGGCCTGAACAACATCACGCCACCAAAATAGGCCACTGAGGCTGCCGCCTCATTGGTTAATACTGATCAACTACACATCACGCCATTCCTATGACGTCAATCATCCTTTCCTAAATCTCGGGCATGTCTCATATAAATAGGGGCCCTGTTTCACAGACTTTTCAGACATAGAAGTAATTACCAGTGCTTACAATACTTGTGTGGGTCGCGGACTAGAAACAGCCGCATTGCCGTCCACATCAAATATAATTTCAATTACAACTATTCTCCGGTAGAATTATTATTCTGTCGACAAATTTTAACTAACTTAAAATTAACTATATTATTAGTTTCGTGTTAATAAACATTATATCTATAATTAACTACATTTTGTGTTAAACTATTCTTACTCTACCTTCACTTCAACCACCATCCTCCGATTCATTGCGACGACGTGTACGTGCATTCGTCGTTAAAGAAGTGTGCAGTAACCAATCAAGTGAGGGCGACGGGTTACTACATAAAATTTGGTGTCAGGTGTGGGGTTTCACTTCATCAAACGAAAACTTTTCGAGACGTCGAAAAAAAGTACTTTGAGACCCACCGACGAAACCACGTTCACAACGTCAAGGAGGAGTGAGGACAGTAAGAACATTCAATCAAGAGCATTCCAAACAAGGTCAGTCCGGGAAGGACGGTAAGAGCATTCAATCAAGGGCAGTCCATTAAGGACGTTTTCAAAAATCAATTTTTTCACGGGCAATTAAGACTACAGGATGCAAAATTTGTAAGTCATTTGAATAAAATATTGTATGTCTGTAGATAGATCTAATTGGCAAATTGTTGCGTATAATCCCGTTACACTAATAATTAAAATGGCTAATCCAGATCAATTAAGTTTAGAAGGGGCAATCAAGTTAGTACCTTCATTTTCGGGGGGATCAGAATCGGATTTAGCTTCCTTTTTGGCTAAATGCGAATTCATTTTTAAGAGTATCCCTAATACTTTGAAACCCATTATTTTAGAAGCCATAATAACCCAGCTAAAAGGTAATGCATTTGAGGCCGTTAGGTATAAGGTAATTACCACCTGGGACGAATTAAAAAATTTATTTAAAACCATTTTTGGTTCAGCACATTCAGTGTCGTACTTACAGGTACAATTAAGTCAGATGCGCCAAAATTCAAAAGAATCTGTTAAAGAGTTCTCGATTAGGATCGAAAAAACTGCACACGAATTAACACACGCGTTAACGGTAGATAAAGACCCAGCGCAAGTAAATATTATAGCTCAAACAGTGCAAGCGCATGCACTAAGCGTATTCATAGCGGGAGTCTCACAAACTATCGGAATTATAGTAAAATTGGTTTAGCGAGGAAGACCTGAGGCAAGACTTCTTCCACAGACTGAGAGACGAGGACCGCGCGAGAGCCGCGTGCCTGGACGCCATCGGGCGGTTGCTGCGGGGTCACGGTAAAACGCTGGCCGACTACGGGTTGCCGAATCCGGACGTCGCGCTGCTCGAAGAGGACCCGGGAGGAGACGTCTACGCCTTCGTCGACGCAGTGGTGCGTTGGACTCTGCAGTTGGACAACCTCAACGACGAACAGCGGGCGGTTTACGACCGCGTGATGGCGGCCGTCGACGACAACCGCGACGTCCCGAAAATGTTCTACGTCGACGGGCCCGGGGGTACTGGGAAAACGACGCTTTACGGCTGCCTAATATGGTCGCTCCGCAACATGGGCAGATCCGTGTTGTCTGTGGCGTTCACGGGAATAGCGGCGACGCTCATGGACGGTGGTATGACCGTTCACTCGACGTTCGGTTTGCCCTTCGGTACACTCAACGAAGATTCGACGTCGTCCATCGCCATGCAGTCTCTGCGCGCGCATAGGATACGGGAGGCGGCACTCATCGTCTGGGACGAAGCGCCCATGTCTCCGGGGCTCCAACTGACTGTGGTCGACCGGTTGCTAAAGGACATAATGCAATCGGAACTACCGTTCGGTGGTAAGACGGTTCTATTCGCAGGTGACTTCAGACAGATACTGCCGGTTTTCCGCAGGGGGACGAGGGCCGCGATCGTCAGTTCAATCAGGCACCACCATCTGTGGGACGTCTTCGAGCGTTTTAGCCTGACGCAGAACATGCGGGCCAACAACGACGCGGACTTTGCCGCCTGGTTGCTTCAACTCGGCAACGGCCAGCTGCCCGCGGTCGACGGAAATGTGAACACCGTCGAAATCCCCAGGAATATGGTATGTGACATAGCTAATTTGATTGATTTTGTTTACCCGCAGCAAATGTCGTTGGCTAACGTCGACGACTTTGCTCGGAAAATTATTCTCTGTCCCCGGAACGAGGATTGTAGACAGGTCAATCGCACGGTGCTGCAACGCGTCACGGGTGCCGCGAGAACCTACACCGCCATAGACACGGTGGTGGCGGACGACGTGGACGAGATTGCCAATTACCCGACCGAGTTTTTGAACTCGCTGGAGCCCGACGGACTTCCTCCGTACAGGCTGACGCTGGTGGTCGGTTCCGTGGTCATGCTGCTGCGGAACCTCGATCCGAAAATCAGACTGTGCAACGGAACAAGGTTAGTGGTTACGGAACTGAGGCGCAACAACTTCAAAGCGAGGTTGTTGGCGGACGCGGGGGAAGGGCAGGACGACATCGTCATCCCCAGGATACCGCTGTCGTCCAGCGGAGACGACGACCTGCCCTTCACCATGCGTCGGGTTCAGTTCCCGGTGAGACTTTCGTTTGCGATGACGATCAACAAGTCTCAGGGTCAAACTTTTGACAGAGTTGGTTTGTTTCTGCCGTCCCCGGTGTTTACGCACGGACAACTGTACGTTGCGTTCTCACGAGTGCGGGACTCGGAATCAATGAAAGTTGGTATGTACGGTGGCGACGACGGTCGATTTATCACAAGGAATATAGTGTATTCAGACGTGTTGTGATCGGCCGTTTTTGTTCAACCTTAACTTGAGCAGTGCAATTACACTTAATACTTATTAGTTATTGCAGTCTAAATCACTTATGCCGATAATTTTTAATTATTTGCTATAATAAACTTATATGCAACAGCGGGTACCTGTGTGGTCCGACCTTTGTGGTCCTGTGGAGAGAAAGTTTGACAACCTCCCCGTGGTTCTCTCTGGATGCTTATTCACTGCAAAGTGAATTCGTAACTAATGTCAAACGTTTTGAAATTAAATTAATTAACTGGTTTTCAGCATACTTATAGAATTAACATTTTCAGGCTGTTGAAAAATGGTGAACAACTGTGTTTGGTGTGGAAACATTGATGCCGCCATGGAGTTTCTATACACAACCCACATAGCAATTAAATGTGTTACACATATTTTTACAACATTCACTAAAAACATGAAAATATTGCTTTAAAATGTTATTTTTATGTAATTTAGGTGATAAAAATATTGTCACAACGTTGTGACAACAATTTGTGGCAGAAATTTCCATATTGCAACAATAACTTTTTACAATATTGTTTTATTCAGGTTTATCAATATTTTGAAAATATTGCCTTTGAATATTTGTTAAATGTTTTTTAATAATGTTGCATAGGTAGCTGCTTTTTATAAAATTAATGTGGCTATGATTTTTCATCTGATATGTTATATTGAGTTCAGACCTAATCTGAATCATGAAAATACATTTTACACTTTAATAGTTATATGGGTGTATTACTATACTTTATAACATCTGCATACAATTATACTACTTTACTTATATTAATAGAAACATATTATTGTTATAGAAAGAGTAATGCATGTTTCAAATTAAAAATATATGAACATACAATATATACTACATTGTTAATACTTTTTACTCATCTTTTATTAGTATCAAAACAAAAACTTTAAACTTTAAGTACACAACATAACTTTACAACTTTTAATAATTTCAGTTTACAAATTAAATGAAAATTATAATGGAATAAATTGAAAAAAAAATTAAAGTGTATTATTACTGCTTTCTGCATTACTACATTTCTTTTTTAACCGATTGCTTGCTTGTGCCATCCACTTGCTAATTGACAAGGCGATTTCTATATCCGGTACTTTTTCGAATTTTGAGCATAGATGAATTGCTTCTATAGGAATTAAATATAGATTTAAAATTTAAAATATCTCATCTTTTATAATGAATGGTAAGTATACGCGGTTCTTACCAAAAATAATTTTACAAGAACTGAGAGATGACAGTTTGTTTTTTCCTTTATGTCCAACATAAGAATAATATTTCAGCCACGTATCATCAAACAATTTTTGCATCATACGACGTACAGAGTCCGATATTGATCGGCCGACTAATCTGGACAGTTCTTTAACCTATTATCACCAAAGAACAATTTATATATAATGTGAGTCAAAAATCAAACCTATTTTTGACACACTTACTACTTGGGACCGGGTCGTGGCATTTTCAAGTTCAGTTTCAACATTTTCAAGAGTTTGCTCATTACTGATAGGAACACTTTCAGTGTTCAATAAATTTGAACTGCTGTGATTGTCTTGATTAGTTAGTGAACCTGAGGCGTTCAAAACATTGACAGCATGTTCTACCATACTTTTGATTTCATTCACCGTATATACTAAATTTTTAATATCAAACTTGATATTAGTCAAAGACGTCTTAGTATAATCATAACATTCTGTAAAATTAAGTTAAAATATAATTGACAAAGAAAAATAGCATTTTATGTTATAAATTATAGCACAATATTAAAATAATAAAGTATGACTTACGTTTAAACTCATAAGTAAGGTGAGACATTTTGTTTAAACATAAATCATTACCAGCAACTTCTAATCCATCTATTGAATGTTTATCATTTATCACCATATCCTCTTCCATAGAATCTAAAATACAAATAAATATAGAAAGTAAACCTTTATTAATATATTAAATTCCCCTGAAAAATCATAATGGTAACAATATATTATCATATCTAATAATTGTATAATATATTTATAACTTGTACCTAAAATTATGTCATTATAATAATAGGTACAAATTACTCTATATTGGTGTTAAAATACGTATTTAAAACTAAAAAGATCAAAATATAGACAATAACAATTTTATAAAAATATAATAGTATTTTGTACTTAACTCGGAAATGTAAAATTATATAATACAAATAAACGCATGTACACAGATGTTACACTAAACATTTTTTATGTTGTAAACCTGAATTATACTGCAATTTAAATAGGTATTCACATTAATATTTCTACATTTTGATCTATTGAAGAACAAGTTTAATTTTTCTAAAATAAAGTACTATTTAAATATCGATAAAAACTACTTTACTTGTAGTATTAGGAAACAAACATTTTTTGACATTGCTTAATTGCCTGGACAAAGGACCTTTATACTCATTTTGTAATATTTTATCATCATTAGATATACTAGACATATTATTAGATTGAACTTTCCACTTTCCACTTGGGCTATTTATAATTTCAATGTCATCTATAATAATATTGTTTTTATTAGTAAAAAATTAAATACCAAATAATTAAATTGTATTAACTCATTTAAAATCAAAAATATATTATATACCTTCCATAATAAATGAATTATTTGAAGAGATTTCTTTGTTTTTACCAACATTGTCAATATTATTATAACTTGTGCCTATTATTAATTACAAAAATTTAATCATAATATAATTTGAAATTTAGATATCTATAAATTATTGTATTAAACTTAGGTTTTAAAAATAAGTTTCTTACTTAAATCAAATTTATTTTGAATTATTTTTGAACATCCTGGAGAATACAATTTATCTTTATCACTATCGTCACCATCACTAGAATCTTTGAAATATAAATTTAGTCAATTTAGATATATATAATTTGGTATTGCATTTATTTTTGAACTTATAATTAATAACATTATATTAAATACCTACCAGAAAATTCTGGTGCAGAACTATAATCATGATCGTTAATTGGAGGGGGTTTCTTTGAATGTTGATAATTCTTTTTATTTTTAGTTTTAAATTTCACATTTTCCGCTGATGAGGACAAATCTGAAGTACTTTGCGCTTTTGATGCTTTACATCTGGCTTCATTATAAGAAGCTAGAACATGATAGGACAGTACAGTTTAATTTCACATTAATTTTAATAGTGACTTTCAATAAAACTACATAATTACCTATAGGATTTTCTGTCATCAATCTTGCTTTGAAATATTCATAGTCAATTTTATTTGGTTTTTGTTTGGATTCAATCAATTTATTCTTATTTTGAATATTTCTTTTTGGCCAAGCACAATAGCCATGTTTCCACCATGATTTTGGAACTGCTGAAACTGTATTATCTTTGGTGAAATGTACGATGAGCCACATACTTCTGAAAATTAAAATTAATAGAAATATTAAAGATAGGGTACTTAAATATAGTTAAAGAAAGTATATACATTTATAAAATATATGTTATCATACCTATTATTTAACAATTATGTATGCTTATGCATGTGAAGTATATTTTTGTTTCTTTAAGAATTATATAGGAAACATATTATATTATAGTTATATATATATTTGGTTTAACATTCTGAATGAAATACTGGAAATGTAACTTGCTGGTTTTCAAAAGAAAATAAGATAATTTTTTTTATGAATATCATACCTATTATTTAAAAATTATTATATGTATGCTTATGCATGTGAAGTATATTTTTGTTTCTTTAAGAATTATCTAGGAAAAATATTATATTATACAGTTATATATATATATATATTTGGTTTAACATTCTGAATGTAATATTGGAAATGTAACTTGCTGGTTTTCAAAAGAAAATAAGATAATTTTTCTATGAATATCTGTTATTTTCCAACATTTTAAATTATTAGATAAATTGTTCACAATGTAAATATCTAATTTTTCTGAATTAATTGGTTTGTCATAGAATGATTCTTTATTTTTATAATAATATCCAATTATTATAGGTTCTTTAGTTAAAATACAATGTGCAATATTAATTATTTTAACTACTTCCATAGCCTTAGTTAATACATGTATGTCGGATGAACTTCGTATATTTATAATCATTTTAGTATTTAATGTAATTTTCAAATATTGAGGACCACATGCAGTTTCCAGCAAAGGACCATTACTATGCTCATAATTTAAAATTATATTTCTGTTGTGTAGCTCACTTTTAGATTCCACTATGAGATTTTTTATTTGTTCATCATATCGCCGAACCACTTGCTCAAGAGGCTTGTGATGTTTCCTTACCATTTTTTTTAAAATTTTCATATGATTTTCAAACGGAAAACAACAACAAAAATCAAGAGACCCATAGCGTTTATAATCTTGAGATATGTGTAACAATCCATGAACATTATGTGATATATATTTTGAACCATAAATTTCTTCAAATTTTTTAACAAAATGCTTTAAGAGTTTATCAGAATAATTCAATAATTTTTCATCAATATTTGGACTCAATAAAATAGTCATTGCAATATTCAGAACCATAAAATGATTATAAACTTTATCATTAAGTACATTTTTCAAGGCAAGTGGTCCGGTATAAATTAAGAACTGACGAAGCTCGGTAGCCTTCCAATGACTAACATCTTGAATTAGTCTTGGTTTTCGTACAAAATCATTAGTTATTGCAGATTTAAGAAACATTAAATTTGTACTAATTTTTTTAATTTTCCAACTTGGTAAACGTACAGTCAAAGGACCTTTATGCAACCAAAAATGAATAAGTTTCCTCATAACTCCTAATGCCACTAGGTGCATATAATCTAAGGGAAATGATTTTACCATGTCAAAACCCGGAATACGTATCAAATCAGATAATGAATCACCTACATGGTGTTCTTCTTGACTTTTGTTAATATAACCTTCATGTGTTCTTTCTCTACAATTACTTTTTTTAAATGGAAAACAAGTACTTCCGACATGTTCACCCTCTGCAAGACACCTGGTGCAGGAAAAATAACCAGTATGTCCTTTGATTTTCATAATGAAACTTTTTGCCGGGGCGTCAGCACAAATTGAATGTATAGAAACTGTTCTTATTTTATTATCTAAATAAATGCCATTTCTAACTAAATCTTCTGCTTCTTCTATAAAATTTCTTAAAAAATCATTGCTATCTGCTGGTTTTTTATGTCCATGGTATAGACCAATCAAAAATATATACCCTTTGTATGGGTCTAGGTATGCTAAAATGGGCCAGAATTGGCTAGAACTACTTTTTGATAATGGTAAGCCATCTATTCCAACAACTACTTTAATGTTACCTTCAATCCTGACACGCTTTAAAGTATTTTCAATTCCTCTTTTTAAGCCAAAGTGATAATAATTCCCTGGATTAACAACCCTGATATCTTTTGTTTTTGATGAACTAGAACTTAATAATGTCCTACAATCACTTGGAATTTCTTCAAAACATTTGTGTTGTTTTAAAATTGATAAAAGATCATTCACTGTATTTTGTGCAACATTACGTTCAATTGCCCAGTTTGCTAAATTTAATTTTAATCTTTCAGAATCGTTTTTAAAATTATATGTGGTGGGGCTGGTTCCAACATTATTAGTAATATCATAGGTAGATTCAACACATTGATTTACAATTGGATTTTCAATGAAAATATTATTTTTTTGTTTTGTGTCAAAAATATAATTTTCACCAGAGTCCAAAACATTTGACTTCGTTAAATTAGAAGAAGGAACAGATGAACTTTTTAGTACATTATTTGTATCAAGAACTGGTTCATTTAATGGTTTAACAGAATTTAAAATAGTTGGTCGATTATTATTGAGAAATTCTAGTTCTTCTTGAATTTTGCGACGTTTTGATCGATAGCTTCGTATCATCTTTCACTAAATAAATATTAATATTATGTATTTTAATTTCTTTCTTGTAATGAAAAGTATATTTAAAGTAAAAATTAATTTCAAATTGTAAAAAAAAAAAAATGGTTTAATTAATGTTTTTATTTTTTATAACAAATAAATGTAACTAGGCACATGGAAAACTACTCTGTTACTATACTATAGATACCATCTATATTAATATTTTAATAAGAACTTAAGTTTAATATCAAATTCTAGAACTTTTACTCAGTATTTACTACATGACAGAATTTAAAATTTAAATAATCTTTTTTAAAAAGAAAAATTATTGGTGCTTATAATATACTAACTATAATGCGGCCAACAAATAAATTTAATTTAATAGGTAGGCCCTATCTGATCTATCTAGTAATGTACCTTAGTAGATACTTATTTTAATAGGTGTGGTATGAATATATAATATAAGAAATTATATTAGAAACATGAAGTATTTAAAACATTACAATAATAAGTGATTGCATTTATCTATGTATTATAATAAAAAATTTAAATAAATAAAATATGAAATTACCTACTAGCAGTGAATTGTCCCCTTCTAAACTTTACATGGCAGTATATCATTTACCATGAAGGAAAATAAAAATTATTTGAAAACCATTATAAAGCAGACAGATATGTGACAATATATATTATATATATATTATAAGACCTGAGACAGAGCCTATATTATAACAATACAACTATAATATAAACTCTCTATAAAGTGCAATAACGGTTTACCTAATGGCTAATATAAGACAGCGACCAGGTTAATTATGACTAGATAACACGGATTAGATACTTTATAAGCAACTGATTTATTATTAAATAACTACCAATGTAACAAAACATAACATTTCAGTTTGTCTTAGCCCTAAGATATAATGATGATTGATGAATAACAAAAATGCCCAACAAATTATGAAAGTATACTAGGTATTATAATTATAAACTAAATAAAACTACAAGACTACAAGGTATACAAGGAGGTATATTACAAGGACTATTAGGTACTACCTATTTGTGTAAGTAATTGTAACGTTGATAGGTAGATACTTTTGCATAACTTAAAGCCTGGTCCAGACCAAGAAACATTTGTAAGAAAGAAACAAAAGTTTATGACATTGTCGTCGACAAATATTTATGTTACCGCTTATGAGCGGAAATCGGAAACATTGTCGACGACAATGTTGGAAACACGTGTTTCCGACAAATTTTTCTTTGGTGTGGACGGGGCTTAAGAAACAAAGTTAAAATTAAAACATAAATGTATAATAATATGAAATGGATACTTACCAGAATTTATAATACACTTTACAGCGACTGGCGACAACCGATATATGAAAATGAAATTAATAAAATATATTAAGTTATAATAAATTAAACGCCGATACGACAGGCGGCCATAGAAAGTAACCAATAAACGTGAAACGGTAAAACGGTGAAACGAACAAAGACATAAGTGAATAAGTGATAAGTGTTGCAGCCAGGGATGTGATGGCGGGCGGCGACCGTTATAGCCTATAGGTTAGTTAATCGTTATCATAATACGGGTAACCGCTGGGTATAACATCATGCTGGTGCGTAGATACAGTTTTCGTGTTTTTCAGACTTCCGATCATAGGTAACCTGCAATACCATAATCAGCTGATCGAGTTTGGCAGTACACTTCTATATTTTTTTTTTATTATTTAGTATTTACTATTTAGTTAATCCGCGGCAACAAAGGCCATCATTGGGGGGGGGGGGGGGGCGGTACTGTAGGTTGTGGGACACGTCTTGTGTGTTTGGCAGAATTTCTAGTGGGCACCCGTAAGTTTCTGTCATGCCTGGGTGGGGGGCGGTGGCTTCTTTCTCCAGACAGCGTGAACTGCCCCGAAGAACAAAGCGCCCATGTCCGAGATTCTTGTCTATAAAATATAAATTATTATTCGAACCGGCGACGGTGCGCGTCCGCACGGCCACTTCACCCCTCGCTTCTATAAATTGTTCTATGGTTATAAGTAGCATTCTACCGGCGGCGGTAGTATATAGCAAGGGATTCGGTTGGTGAATTATAATATTACATAATCATACAGTACAGTTTTTAGTATACACTATAACCTATACACCTACATTTGTATATTGTATACATTTGTTGTCTCCGTCTTACAATAATGCATAACATTGCAAATTTACGCTCAGCAGATCCAGTGGAGCATTTATACATTAAGCGCCCTGGGGCGAAATTTTTCTAGCGCGCCCCCCCCCCCCCCCACAAAGAAATATACATTTAATTATAAACAATAAAAACTAAAGAGTAAATTAAATATTAACACCAAGCGTTTAATGCCGTATGCGTAGTCAATTTATTACACAAGACTACAAGAGAGTCAAAGACAAAAATAAAATAAAAGTGGTCGGCGACGATCGGCAGTTGATCGGGAAAATATTTATGGATAATAATAATATTATGTTATTTTTAACCTGTATTGACTGAATAAAACGTAATGCCGCCACAGGTCATAAATATAAATTATAATATATATATATATATAAATCATAGATATATTATATTTGTGATTTGTCTAAATTTGATTTTTTTTTTGTACCTTCGAATTTTTTCCTTCTAAACACGATGATTGCATAACGAATAATAGGTAATAAAATAAAATATTAATTCATAACAAATAATTAACTTATTACTTATTAATAAGAAGTTTGATTGTGTCATAATAGTGTTTAGAAGGTACACTTTGAAATATTTGGGGATCCGGATCCCTCTAATCAATATTGAAATACCATGAACTAAAATAGCAAATTCTATATATTATTTTCGAATAGCTTTATTAGAATATGTTGGTTTGAAAATTGAAATCAATTGATTATTTGAGCAGGATTTAAATGTATTCCATAGACAACAGACCTATAATTATAGGCTATAAATAAATGGTTAATGGACTAATAGCAGACAATGTCCGAAACCAACATTGTTAGAAAGATATATCAGAGAATTCGAGTTCTATCTTCTATCATATTATATTTATCACAAAAGGGACAGAGTAAGGTTAACAATGTTGGAACCTACAAGGCACTAAGACAGAGATAGGGGACGACTTGTTTAAAATTTTAAAATTATAAATAGGTACGCAAGAATGATGCAGTATCTGCATATTTTGCTCATCTGCTGTAACTTATTTTAAACATATTGCTACAACTATCTTGAAGAAATATTGGAACGAGAAACACTCTATATTGTTGACACAATATTTTAAAGAAATATTGTCAAAGCGTTTTAATTATGTATTTTATAAAAATATTTTTACTACACAATAAAAATACATTGTGCCAATAATTGAACCTACATGTTGTTAAAATAATTCTAGAAACATATTTTCAGAATGTGATATGAATATTTTTTAACAATATCTTGCTCATACATGTAAAAAACATATTGCACCAATATGAAATTTAGTAATATTGTAACCAACATATGTGTTAAATATTGAATATGTTTAAATTGCTATGTGGGAAGTAAGTATGAACCATTTACGTCCCAATGAACATGACCGTTACACTCACATTCACATTTACATTTAGGTTTCGGCGGATATGGACACAGTTCGTGCAACACCATGGGTCACAAGTCTATCAAGCTGTGTTCGAGGTTTTTTGTTTCTGGGGACTTCTCGACACAACACTGAGGTTATTATGAATAGTGCATTAGTATTTGTTCATTTCCCACACACATCAAAACCACCAACATGTGTTTCATTTGTATTAATCACAACTTAATACTCTTATAACAATTTACTTTCATTGACCAAATGCTTTTAATGTTTATATTTTATTGTAAAACCTTATATTCATGAGTATACATCGATATTCTTCATTATAAAGGTTAATGCATTTGATTTTCTGTGATCACTGTTAACTATTACTTGAGAACTATAATATGTTGTATGTGTTATTCTTATTCACTATTCACTATACAATTTAATATTTTGTCATGTTCTCAGGTTAATTTATTATCAGAAATATTTCATTGACTTTTATTTTTAATGTTTAACTACCCCGTGTTCAAGATATACTGACGTTGTGCTTAAAGTATCTTTACCAAACAAAATGACAAATTTGATTCTGCCTCACTCTTTTAAGAACTACATTATACTATAAGCTTATTCATTAAATTCATTAACTGGTATATTGTATTTTTAGGCTGTTTTGTGTGGAAACATTGAGATACAAACCACAACATGACAGGCCAACACAGCACTGCACTGCTACCTTCGACAGTGATATTATTGGTTCAGTTCCCACTCTGTGTTTCATTCATGTTAACCACAACTGAAAACCCTTAGAAACATTTTTGAAATGACACCCAACAAAATGACAAATGCTTTTAATGTATAAACTAATGTATGTATTTGTTTTACTTCTTATTGTTAAACCTTATATCATCAAAAAAGACAAATTTAATTCTGTGATCACTGTAAATATTTTCGCTGTATTTAACTTAAAAGATTAATTATGTTATTGTATAACCTTATATTCGTACTTTAATGTCTATGGACGACTGTCGAAGTACTATATAATAGAAATTGCTATATTTTGTAACATGCCGTATCATTACCTATTTGTTCAATCGCAATTGTAATTACCTTATAACTATGTAACATTCTGTTCAAACTGTAAAATACCTACAACACGTTGAATTTTTTATTTTTTAATGTCTTTACCGTGCGTAGGTAAATTGTTTTATGTACTTATCAAACATCTATCTGGTTATTGTATAACCTTAGATCCGTACTTCAATGTCTATGGACGACGGTCAATGTTCTATATTATAACAGTATGATTTTCCTTTGTATTTTGTTTCTTAAGTATCAGTATTAAAATTAGTCAAATTAAATTAACCTCAACTTTTTGTAACATGTCGTATCACTATCTATTTGTTCAATCGCAATTGTAATTACCTTTTAACTATGTAACATTGTGTTCGTACTGTAAAATACCTACAATACATTGAAGTTTTTATTTTTTACTGTCGATACCGTGTGTAGGTAAATACACTTTTGTTGTATGTGCTTATGATATGATGGTTGGTTAACTGTGACTGTAGTATTTCAATTATTATACATATTATTACGTTTGATTATACTTATTGCATTATACTTATTATTATTATACTTATTGTGTATTACTTTTATTATTATATATTAATGTCTATAGATGATAATACACATATATTTAATATTATATAGTTGTTAGGTCTTTATCTCTGAGTATGATCAATTATTGGTTTAAATCCATAACTAAAATATTAGTGTCGGCACGCCATTTGTCGATCAACTATTGATGTAGACTATTCCAACTAATACTATAGATAACAGTCATACCTTAATTGTTCATTTATGTAGCACGTAGCTAATAGCTTGGAACACATCTTATCATAAGAAAAAAAAATATTTATTAATACTCTTATGAATAGTAACATTTATCACACTACTATTATTTTTATTAATATGTTGCTGCTAATATTAAAAAATTTGGAAAGTCATTACACTAATTGGTACTGAAAAACAGATTTATGGTTTAATTATTGCAATTAGTCTAATGACCGTTGCCAAGCTATTTGAATAGCACCTACATATTATAATCATTGATTATAAATACTTATATTATTTATATATATATGTACATATATATTTATAATCAATGATATAATATACTAATTGTCACAGATAACACTTAACTACTTTATATTCTCAACAACAATATTATTAATTATTTTATATTATCAATTACTTTTTAGTGTTTACATTATTTTATGTAACAATACGATTATTTATCAGTCCATATTAACAACAATGTACGCTATACAAATATTTTCAATTGATTACAACACTTGCCCGACAATGTCATTACAATGTGGGATTTTATAAAACTACTAAATTTAAACACCAGTGGACTACAGTTATAATGATTAATTATCTTTTAGCATATTTTGTGAAGTAAACTCAATTCTGATGAATAAAATCAAGAAAGGTTTTCAACACTTACATTTCAAACCAGCAACACACATCACTTACCTATTTTATTATTACTAACTAATAATATATTACTGTTGTTAACCAACTACTAAAATATTTAATGACACACCTCACACACAATTGTCAATTGACAAACGTTACTGTTACAGTTCATAAAACAATATTGGGATCAAGGAAATAATAAATAACAATAAAAGTTACATGAAATGGTGCTTTATTCATTCTGAAAAATATTTAAAAAAAATACAATTGTTAAATAAATTATGAAGTAGACAAAATCGTCCAATTGAAACTTACCAGCCTCCATCACCACCCACCGTCCACTGACTGCCGACCCGATCACACTGAAAATGATGTATATAATTATATTTTTTTTAATATTTTTATTTATATAATATTGACTATTCTTACGTGGGAGTTACAGGTGTTGAGGAGGCGGTCGTGAACCCCACCTCCTCACCCGTCGATATTGGGGTCGACGCTGCGGCCGGCTCCTCCACAGCCCTCGGCGTTTGACCGACAAAACTACTGAAAACAATACATTTTATGTTTTTGTTGATGATTGACATATTTTGGTATTTGCGATCTTACCTTAACTCACGGCCCCGCCGCCTCGACCCCCGCTGCTGCTGTTGCGGTTGCCGCTGCCGTCGCGGTTGCCGCTCCTGCTGAAGTTGCTGCTGCTGTTGTTTCTGCTGCTGCGGCCCCGACGAGGAGGCGCCCGGCGATGCCGCAGGTACCACGCAGGGGGAGTCTGATAAAATTTACAAAAGCTTAGCACGTGAAAAAATAAATAATAGGACAAACTTACCACAATTCCTCGCCAGGTGACCCACCTGTTGGCACCTGTAACATCCTGAAACGTACAAATCATGTTTAGTGTTATACTTGGCTTATGCAATACGCATGTGCTTTTTTTCTATTAGATACTTACGTCGGGCGTTTCCTCCCGGACGCCGCACGGGGGCAGCATTGTGGTATACGGGTGCATTGTACACCCGCATACCACGGCCGCTGTAACTATGACTGGCACGACCAGTATCTTTCGGCATGCTAGATTTCAAAAAAAAAAAAATTATTTTATTCAAATACGTATGAAATTGTTCGATACATAATCTAAGAAATATTATTTTAATACTATAACCGACGTGTACTCACTTCAAAGATGTTTTGAGAAATGATTGATAAAAACCAAACAACATGCAGCTGGCAATGCATTAGATGTCTCTTGACGCCGTAAAAATAGCAGCCAATCAGAAAATAAGATTTTGTCTACTAATTTGTTATAACCGCGAAAACATAACAACGATTACATTGATTACAGTGAAGCCTACACCAGCAGCTGATAACTGTTCTCTATAATTATCAAAAAATACAATTTTGTTACCTCCTATATGCTTCTTCAGATTTGAACGGCCGTTTCGAGCACTTTTCGCTGTAGGCGGATTGTCCGTTCGGGAATCGACTTTCACCCGAGATGATTGATAGCTAGACACTCAAACTCAGAATCCGAATTTCCGATTTCAACACACATACGAGAACCGGACATACACGCCCGGTGCATGGTCTGCGATCCGACGTAGTCGGATTGCCTACCTGACTAGCTACTTGCATACAAGCGACTTACACCCTCACTGCACCCGATCCGTCGCAGGCGGATTGTCCGTTCGGGAATCGTCTTTCACCCGAGATGACTGATAGCTAGAAACTCAAACTCAGAACCCGAATTTCCGATTTCAACACACATACGAGAACCGGACATGCACGCACAGGGCATGCCTACCTGACTAGCTACTTACATACGAGCGACTTACACACCCACTGCATCCGACACTCGGGAATCGTCTTTCACCCGAGATGACTGATAGCTAGACACTCAAACTCAGAATCCGAATTTCTGACTTCAACACACACACTCCTGAACCGGACATACACGCCCGGGGCGTCGTCTGCGATTCTCGGATGGCCTACCTGGCTGGCTGTGTCGTACGATCGACTTGAATCGCCAGACTTACGACTAGACACTCTTCCGAGTTCAAAAATTACCGCTTAACCAGTGCTGCCAACACGACAAAACACAATACCCGAGGACCCCCCATTCCCGCCGCAGGCCGGATCAAAAAACGCAGCATCGCCGACAAAGATGCACCACCGCCCACACAGTCTTTCCGCCGTAGGCGGGATGACAAACACCGGAATCTAGTCTAGTCTTATATAATAAAACGCTAATAACGCGTATAAGATCCGCGCTTAGCGCTGACGGCACTCCGCGTTTCTTCCATGACGACCAATCACAATACTTCCCGCGCGTTCGCTATTTCACTCGCTTATCTCCCTTTTCCTTATCGACGAATATTTTCGAACATTATTATTATTATTATTATTCCGTATTTCTATATATAGCATATAATATAAAATAATATAATTTGTGATATATAACGCACAATTCAGAAACGTTTTTGAAATCTTCTAGAATGTTATGTTCGCTTTAATAAATTGTAAAATATGTTATTATTTTGAATTTTATTTTTATTATATCGTACCTACTATGCAAATTAAGTCGATTCCGGTCGTTGTGGTGGAAGCCGCAATTAATCAACATTTCAATAATATATTAAAAATATATAAGTAGTTTGAATAGATAGATATTTTTCATGAGTATTGCAGTACATTTAACTATTGTACCTAAGAGTTTTAGTAGGACCTTGGTATGTTGTTACATACATAATAATGTAAGTAATAATACGTACACATGATAAGACTACAATAAATTCAATACATTTCAATTTCTTAAAATATATACATGTTATTTTATGTAATATTATTATTATATTATATAGGGTGTTCCACGATAAATGTGTCAAACTTCTAGAGGTGTTTCTTCACCTCAAATGGAACAAAAAAAAGTCCTTGTGACCATAGTCGAATTATCAATAATAAGGGTAATAATTTCCATTTTTGTGTTTATTTGTTAAACGCAAGTTTGATTCATAATAATGTTCATATCTGCTAAACCGTAGATACTACAATTAAATTGAATACATCGATGAAAAGCTCATAAATTTGGGATTATGAAGACATTTACAAGATTCCCACATGATTTTTTGGGTAAAAAAATAACACACATTTTTTATAAATTTAAAATGTCGAAATTTAAAAAAAATTTCAATTTTATCAAACAACAAATTTTTTTTAAGGCAGGTGGGTGCAAATTTCAAAAAAACTTCAAAATGTTATAAGCTTTTCAACAGTGTACTCGATTTTTTCGTTAAACCTCTCTGAAGGGCCGGTATTCCACCTAACGTGTGGAAAAACCGGGAAAAACGTAAATAAATTCTAAGCAATAAATACAAAACCTGGTAAACTGATTTTCTTAAATTTATTACAATTTTAAAAATGTTATTACAAGAGATTCAAAATAAGTTTGTTCATCTACATTTATTGTAAAAGCTGTTCAATGTGTCCACCGTTTTGCCTCAAACAAGCACGTGCTCTCTCACGTACTTTCCTCCCAGTTACTCCTGCTGTCACCACTCTCCGCATTTCAATAGCTGCTTGAAGAATTCTCTGCCTTAGTTCTGCTTCAGAATCGACTTCCTGATGGTAGACTCGTTCTTTAAGGTAACCCCAAACAAAAAATTCCATAGGAGTTAGGTCTGGAGACCTTGGAGGCCATGGAATTGTGCCTCCTCTACCGATCCAACAAGTAAATGTTTCGTCCAAGTGCTGTCTCACTGCTCTAAAGAAATGTGGTGGGGCCCCATCATGTTGGTAAATCATGCGTCTTCTGACTTCTAAAGGTAAGTACCTACTCAAGCAATCCAGGTAGTTCATTTTGGAGAAAATTTAGATATGAATTTCCACCTACCGTCCGAGGAAGTCCTAAAAATTGACCAATTAACACGCCACCGATAATGCCCATCCACACATTGATTGAATATCTGCGTTGGAATCTTTGTTGGCGTACTAAGCGTGGATTTTCCTGAGCATAGTGATGACTGTTATGAACGTTAAATACGCCTTCTCTTGTAAATGTACTCTCATCTGTCCACATAATACTTTGGAAAAAACCACGATCCTCAACTGCATTATGAAGTAGCCATCTACAGAACTGTACACGTTGTTGATGGTCTGCGTTCTCTAAGCCATGAACTCTTAAAAAATGGTATGGATGTAAGCCTTCTCTATTAATAGTTCTCCATACAGTAGAATGATGAACTCCAAATTGACGAGCAAGCGTACGAGTACTAGTTTCTGGATCTCTGTTGACTTCGTCCAAGATTTCTCTCTCCAAATCTACATTTTGTACACCTTCCCTCAAAGACCGTCGAAAAGTACCTCGCTCACTCAAAGCTTGGTGGATTCTGCTGAACATGGCTGGGGCAGGAACACGCCGATGTGGAAAACGGTTTTCGTACTCTCTTTGAGAGGCTCGAGTATTCCCATTACACAAACCATAAATAAAATGCATGTCTGCAAGTTCGGTATTTGAATAAGAAGGCATGACGAATAATACAAAACCAAACTCAACACATGAACTTCTTGTAATGAGCCGTATTTAAATCATGTTATCGATTTCACGACTAATTAAGATTCTAAAAATTACTACGAAAAATTAAAATAACTACGTATTGAAATCAAATAACTAGAATTGTTATCCAGAGCTTTAAATAAAGGTACTAAATGACTATTTAATGACTTAATCGACCTCACCATAGTACAATTAAGATAATAATAATTACTACGAAAATAAATAGCGATAATTGTTAATCGGCGGATTTAAGTAAAAACATACTAAAACGTCGTAATCAGTTGTTTATTTTCCGCACATTAGGTGGAATAGCGGCCCTTCAGAAAGGTTTAACGAAAAAATCGAGTACACGGTCAAAAAGCTTATAACATTTTGAAGTTTTTTTGAGATTTGCACCCACCTGCCTTAAAAAAAAAATGATGTTGGATAAAACTGAATTTTTTTAAAATTTCGACATTTTAAAGTTGTAAAAAATGAGTGTTATTTTTTTTTACCCAAAAAATCATGTGGGAATCTTGTAAGATATGCCTTCCTAATCCCAAATTTATGAGCTTTTCATCGATGTATTCAAATTAATTGTAGTACCTGCGGTTTAGCAGATATGAACATTATTATGAATCAAACTTGTGTTTAACAAAAAAACACAAACATGGAAATTATCACCCTTATTATTGATAATTCGACTATGGTCACAAGGACTTTTTTTGTTCCATTTGACTATTTGAGGTGTAGAAACACCTCTAGAAGTTTGATACATTTATCATGCAACACCCTGTATACTAATATATTGTTAATTACTTCAATCCATACCTTATACCTGTACCAACCTTTACATTGGGCTACACATATTAATTTTTTGCAATATTTCAAACAAATTTCAAAACAAGAAAACTACATATACATATTATATATATGTTTTAAAATTATAATAAATTGAATTTAAATTCCTCCAATGCTTAAAATATTGTAATTTTTTTATTATGTCGTTGGTATGCAAAAATGTATTATACATGATTTATACATATTATTGTATTAATAAATACATAAGTATCATTTATATTCTACTTTTTTAAACTTTACTATATATATATATATATAATTATTTACTATTGTGTTTAATGTTATGTATATTAAAATTTAAACTTTATTGTGTTTAAAATGTATGTAGTAAAAAATGCAGTAATTAATAAGTACCTACATTTAGAAAATTAAATTTTTTTTTTTTTACTTTAGTACGACCATACATGTTGCCTTCAGTATTATTCAATAACCCATATGTGAAACGCAAAACTCAGAAATGGTTCAAGTGCTTGAGATTCAAATATTCAAAAAATGATTTTTTTCCTTTCTTTTTTCAAAATTTTTTCTTTGCATTATACTACCATTTTATTATATGCATATCTATAGATATCCTTTTCAATGTAATTATTATTTAATTTAATAATTTAAAAATTTACCTACCTAAGCAAATGTAATGTACAATAAATATAGGTACATTAGATTGTTATGAGAATGCACATACTTTCATTATTATTTAAAATATGTATATCAATAATATTAAAAATATATACCGTGTGTTCAATTTTAAAGGTAACAGGAAATATTTCGATCGTGTGACATTGAATTTGAAGCGGGGTTTTTATACTGCATATAGGACTTTAAAATACATATTTTTTTAATGAATTCAAATTTTTAATTTTTTTTATCAGCGCATGCGCAGTAAAATAAAAATTTCTTAAATAGCAACCACTATTTTGGAGATCGGATTTCGATTTCTTTATTTTTTCTGAACAACTTTGATCTTTACAGTTTGTTGATATCTTCAAAATTGCCATGTTTATGACGGTCGGAAGTTTTAAAATAGTGAATTTGTAAATATTGCATTTTTCAACGGTCTATCTTAATTTATAGGTATTACCGTATTTATAGGTATTATTATAACAATTTATTTTTATTAAAACTACTAAATTATCTACTACTATTATCTTAATTTGTTTTTAATAGTATTATAATGAAAGTTATACTATTAACCTGTGTGAATAAGATATTTTGATAGCATTCTAAAATTGATTGTGAATAGTCAAACGTTTTTCGTAAGTCGCGCGTGACACATTATTTTCTGTACAATGGCAAACTATTCCGAAAAAACCGATATAGTATTAATTTTTGGAAAATGTCATCAAAATTCGCGTAACGCAGCGGCACTTTATGCTGAACGATATCCCGAGAGATATCATCCACCACACAATTATTTACGAATTAACTATTTTAAAACTTCCGACCGTCATAAACATGGCAATTTTGAAGATATCAACAAACTGTAAAGATCAAAGTTGTTCAGAAAAAATAAAGAAATCGAAATCCGGTCTCCAAAATAGTGGTTGCTATTTAAGAAATTTTTATTTTACTGCGCATGCGCTGATAAAAAATAAATAAAAATTTGAATTTATTAAAAAAATATGTATTTATAAGTCCTATATGCAGTATAAAAACCCCGAATCAAATTCAAGGTCATACGATCGAAATATTTCCTGTTACCTTTAAAATTGAACACACGGTATATATTGTTACATGCGGCCCTTCAGGGATCCAAAATTTTGTTGCACTTTTACAATAAAATGTAGTCAATTTTAAATATAAATCAATTGTAATTTATTGAAACCAATAATAATTAATATAGTCGTGGTGAATTGCAGCGTCGTGAGTTGACTCGTTGTAGTAGTCGATAATCTCCATGTAAGTCGTGTATAATGGCTGGTGGCTAAACGGCTCGCTCGGTCTTGGCGGCTCTGGTACATCTACTTTGGCTGTCTCGCTGTCCCCTATATATATGGTGGCGGCGTCCTTTGAAGTGAGCGGCGCGTGTACAGTCGTCCTTGATATGGACCTCACGACTATGAAAGTGGTATTCTTAGTCGAAAACACTTTTGGGCAGTGTCGGCCTGGCATATAAAAGGCCTCGGCCGCAATTTTTCTCTGGGGCCTCGATTTTTTTTCTTCATTTACTATATATGAACAATTTCGTTCCTAGAGTTATTGTATATCCCCCCACCCCCGCTCAATCAGCCAATGTGTAAATGAATTATTTTTTGTAAACTAACTTATGATATATTATGTCAGAATTCAGTTTTTTTCTTATGAATAAAAATAAAAAATGACTATAGTTGTGTGATTAAAGTGAAACCTGTATATTGAACAGCACCGTTTGATGCTGACCGTTAAACGCCAATTATTAACGCTGACATTTACCTCCCTCCCCCCACTCACCAAATAGTCGCTCGATTAAAATTTTTCCACTTTTACAATTCTCTACTAAAGTCTAAAACCAAGTATTAACTTCTGACGTGCTTAATGATACACATGATTTTAATAAGTTACTAAACAAAATGTAATTCAAATTACGAAAAAGATATCATCCAAAATATAATAAAGAAGACGAACATTGAACAAAAGTTGACACAACATTATTTTTAAAGAAAGTAATAGCTAAATATAAAAAACTTAAATACTAAATGAGCAATTCATGTAACATTTTAGATGACTTAGGTAGTTATGTAGCTATAGTATCAATAATTTGAGTTTTCTGAATCTTGATATCTTTTTCAATTGCAATAAGCATTAAATGTTGTTGACTTATTGTTGATCTGATTTTAGACTTCACAAGTTTCAGTTTAGAAAATACCCTTTCACAAGTCACATGAGTAGAGGGTAAAATAAATACATATTTATAAACTGTAAATAAATTATAAAATGAGTTTGAATGAAATGAAAGTTCTTTAATTACTTAACTTAATTGTTCTTACTTCTTTATTTCGATATAGCGCTAATGATAATAATTGATTAGACAATTTATCAAACCTATTGTACGGCCATACAGGGGCCCCACACATAGACGTTATTGACTTATTGTATTTGTACTCGTTACGATTTTCCCGACAATTTTGTTGTACAAAAAATCTTATGTGCGTTCAAATCATCTCGTTTATCATTACATTTGTATTTTGTACTACACCTTATACGAGTAAACAGCACACCGCACCCGTATACACCATGACAAAATATAGATTATATTATATCGTACTAGATAGTAGATACGTGTTTGTAGTGATTGTACACTACACTCAAATTCTATAACTTATACACAGGGCCGGATTTAGGATGGTGGGGGCCCTAGGGCCCATCATCTGGCCATATAAGGTTGACATATAACTTACTGCATAAGCTGAAAGGTAATTATCTCGTGAGGGCCTCTTATTAATTGAATCTTGTGGGGCCCCGGGCCCCGTGGGCTCTCTCTAAACCGGCCCCATTTATACACTTCGTCAGTAGCGCAACTAGGCCAATTGTCACTTTCAATGAAGGGCTCTATTAAAGTTTTGTACGATTATTTTTGTGAATAAAAATTGGGGTGGTCATATTGATTGTAAAAATTGTTATCCAAATCTAATATAGAAAACAATATTTTTAGTTAAGACTTCGGCTGGGGCCCCTGCAGCCTGTGGGCCCCAGTGATCGACACTCCCTCGTTCATCGTCGTACATTTAATTGTACCGTATATTTGACGCTTTGTTGACTACTCTACGTTGGGGTGGTGGTCCTGGCCACTAATTATAAACTAAAAAAAAAAACTCAGGGCCTCGGCCGCGTTCGCGGCCCCGCGGCCCTGGCCAGGCCGACACTGCTTTTGGGTGTGGTCGCATTCCTGGTTGTTTTTATGAGCAAATATATGATATTGCGTAATCCCATTCCTGGTTGTTATTATGAGCAAATACATGATATTGCGTAATCCCATTACAATATATATATAATATATATATATATATATATAAGTAGTTTGAATGCACAAATTTGATAGACATTTTGCAGTACATTTATTTGAAAGCTAAGAGTTTTAGTAGGAGCTTGGTGTGTCGATTGTTAAGACAATGTCAATTTCTTAAAACATACATATAACGTTATGCTAATATATTTTA